CTGCCGTAGCTCATACAGCAGCCATCGTAGCTAAAAGATGGCCACTGTGACTATTACCATTATGCGCTGGACAAATTAAAATTGTTGACCTGATAATAGTGAAAACTAACTACGTATGCAGTATTTTTACTTCACTGGAGCATTTCCATTTTCAGTTGCTTCATACTTTGCCTCTGAAATGTGGTAAAATCAAATATTGTACTTTCCACTCCATTACACTGATTTAATAACATTAGTTACTATTTATTTTGTAGATTACAATTAATTACACAAGTACAGTATAACTATAGGAATATAATGATCCTCAGTTGGAAAGTCCAGACCTTCCCATCAGTATGTAAAGTACATTATAATCGCATGAGGTAGTTACTTTACCACCTGCTAAAGTTAAAGTGATGTGCACATTAATGCAGCGGTAATTATAATCCAATATACTCTGATGTGAAATGCGTTTGTAACAGGACTACTCTTACTTTTGGTACTTCAAGAATATATTGATTAGATTGTTTATACTGTTACTTAAGTAAACATGTGAATGCGGAACTTGCTGGTAACAGTATTTTTACACTGTGGTACCACTATTTGTTACTGTAAGTAAGGGATCGGAGCACTTTTTCCACCACTGGATGGCGCCAGGTAAAAAGCAGAGGATCACCTGAGTGCTAACAGTTCATCCTCAGGGAAACCCACTGTTAATATCTGAGCTGAACTTCATGGCATTCCATCCAAAATCTGCTCAAATATTTCACTTTAAACCAAAACTGTCTGTACCATGGTAGAGCTACAGGTCAGGAGATCACTGAAATCTGTGGGCTTTGTCTTTTGGGGACTACAAATGTTTGTACAGAATTTTATGGCAATAGATGGACATTGCCTTCTACAGTACAGAGTCCTGCTGCTTATGTTCCTCTGAGGGCTGCACATACTATAAATGAATTCTAGTAGCCCAACTTTTTTGTTTGCTCTGCTCAGTGGATTATACAAAAGCTAGGCGCCGCTACATTATGTGGATACATTCAAATGACTGTATCGACCTTTGCTAGCATTGAAAACTGCAGTGTCAGGTTTGTGTGTTGTTGTACACAATTACATGTAAAGTACACATGTAATTGCTGGCAGTGCAGTGATTTGCACTGTCGCCTCACAAGTTAGTCTCAAAGAGCTTTAATCTCAAAGTAACTAAATATTTTAATTTTTAAAGTTGCATAACTGTACATGTAGCCTAACACCAACTATGACTGTACTGCAACGCTGCATCCTGTTCCACAAGATCACGATCACCGCACTCTGATGCTGTCAATGTCCAAACTATAATCAGCTCCATCAGTCAAGCATGTTAAACTCACAAGAATTTGACTCAAGTACAGGTTCTCAATGTGCTTTGTAAGGCAATAGGAATTAAAAAATAAATTTAAAAAAAGTGCGTATTCAAAATAGGAAGTATGTGAAAAGTATAGGAGAAACAGATAATGTATAAATGTATCTATCCAAAACAATGTGAAATCAGCTGTACACTCAATTTATTTCGATAAATCTGTAATATTGTAAATGTGCAAGCTGTTTGAATAGTTACAAATCAGTTACAACCACAGCAAATGTCTTTAGGTCAGGTTTATTTCAGTTTCACAACAAGCTCTGGCAACAATTAAACATTTCAATTATAATTTTACCTTTTACATAAGTTTAGCTTTTTTCTTTTCTTAGGTGATTTGGATGATTACAGAGGAAATGGAGTCAGACTAGGTCCTTATTTTGCTGCTTCACATATAAAGGCACATCACCATGTCTCTATAGGAACCTGCATTTAACACGATAGTTAACAAGGGCAGTGCAAAAAGCACTTGTTAACACTGGGAGGTGATTAAAACACTTTCATCACATGTTTCCACAGCAGACGAACTGGTTCTCCACCTCAAGATCTATGAAGAACCAAGAGAAAGTTGAATAAATGTGTTTTTATAAAGACATGAAGGAACACCAGACTGAGCTGGACGAGCACCTGCACCTCAGTCTTCTTGTATTGGTGAAACCTGAAGCTTTGGGTCAGTGATGAGCCCCAGCACTAGTGCACACAGTTACTGGGGAACTGGTTTTATTAAGGCCATCCGGACGTTTCCTGTGAAGCAAATCAGTGTTTAGTCAAGAAGCTACCAAGTGACAAGAGCAGTGCAAAGAGAATTTTGACCGTCTTAAACCCAAGATGACAAATGTCTGAGGTTTACCTATAACCCTGCCATGAAGCGTCACAGCAGGGCCTCAAACAGCCCCATGTCTCTCTAGCAGACACTACAGGAAAGGACAGTGCCACTGCAGGCTCAGCCTCGCTGGAAAAGTCTGCATAATGAATAAAATACAGAAGAAAATCTCCCTGTAGTTTACAGCGCATATCCTAACAAGTCAAGTTGTTGCTGTCAAGTAATTTAACAAAGCTTCAGGCAGGCTGGGATTATTGTATGATAGGCCGTAAGGCTGCAGAGGATTACTTTCAATATCAGTACATTTGACAATTTCATTTTTTTTAATGCTCTCAGAAAACTGTGGGAAACACTCAGATGTATTGACTGGGGACATTTTGAATTTACCATCAAATGAAAACCAGCAAAACTGCTAATCTTTATACTTGAAACTGGTATCAGTTTTTGGCATATTTATGCTTGAAAAATGACAATTTGTTACCAACTGTTGCCAATCAAATAAACAATCATTTCACCTCTAGATTACTGGTTGGCTTCTGAGTGGGCGAAGAAAATGTGGAGCCACTCAAGAGGTTAATCCAGCCATGTGTCTTTCATATACCCATTCACTATATTCACGTGGGCTGCAAGTAATAATCCTCAGTTAAAACCAGTCATACCTTTTCACCTTTACTCTGGGCATTTAACACAAGCCTTCAGACTAGACAACAAATTAGAAAATAAATCATTTTTAAAAACTCCGCAGAAACACAGCACCTACATTGCAACCATTCCGAGAGTTTAAAACAACGTTTCCTTAATAAATCCGCCATGTTGTCACAAGTATTTGCTTCTATAATATTTTCCGTAGTGATAAACATTAGATATCTTATAAACTAACTTAGATGGAAACGGATTCATTTCACGTACCTTCACCTTTACCAGCTGTGTGAAATTGAAATCGCTTCCCGGATATGATGTAACTTTATTGTATGTACGGAGTCGACCAGCAGGGGACAGACATACGCCACTGCTGTCTGTGTTCATTACGACGATGCGTCAACGCGGCCGCCATATTGGGGCAGGGACATGTCGCTTCTTAATGCTTGTATGTGTATTGAGTCAAGAGGGCGATCCACAATATAATCATCATAAATCGCTGAATTTACAACCGAATTTTCGGCTATTTGGTTTGTTGCAAATCTTATTTGGTAAAATTAGAAACTGTTCATATCAACACACTATCTTTTGTAGGTTGTAACACTAATATATCTATGATAAAGATGAACTTAGCATATATATCTTAAAAATTAAAGCGCTGTAAGACTGGTGGCATAAATAAATTTTGTTTATAATTTTATAAATGAACGATGAATGAAATATACATAATTACAACAAACACTAAACTATCATTTCAATTTTAAATTTACATTTATTTTCAAATATTCTGATTTTGCTCACTTACATTTTAAAGTGTCTTTAGCTACAACAGGCCTTTTCTGTGTAGGAGGGCTTTTGCAGCCCAATGGACAGCCGTTGCTGGTGGGTGTTGGCAGCTCTGGAGCGTCCATGAGGGGGACGCTCGTGATTGATGACTCAGACTTCATTGCCTGATAACAATACAGGCCATAGAGAAACAGGCTTCTCTTTGGCCGGCACCATCAGCAGACACCCAGGATGAATTTTAGCTTTGTTTGCCTGACCACTCACCCAGATGACATGGCTGGCACACAGATGAAGACCTCAAACTGGCCATCTGAATCTGTATGTCTGGATGAAAATATGGGCTGTTTTAACTGCTCCTCTCTTTTCTGCATGACTTAGAGATGGAGGAAGTTTGTGTATATTATACAAACAAAGCTGGAGTCAGGGAACGATCACTGGTCTGTTGAAGCTGTAAATAAAACACTGTATAATCTTTTACCCACACTCTCCACCAAACAATATTATAATTATCTCCTTGAATAATCCTATTTCCGCCCTGTCCTGGGCTTTATTTCCATATCACTCATTATACAACAATAAAACTGGGCAATCAGGACAGAGAGTTCTGTAACTGGCATTAGACCATAAGGGGTCAACATATGAATAATGCCACTGTGTGAATGTGTGTTGTTGCCTCCTGTCACTGTCACCAAGCTACGGGAGGTGCTGCCTTGTCTGAGAAAGTTAACAATTATTTTTTATAATCAATGAATCCATAGTTCTGTAAAATAATAATTTCGATGTCCCCAAGTGTGTTTATAATTTATTTAAATATGTATTTTAGTAGGTTTTGATCAATTCAGGAGGCAGATTAGATTCAAAATTACAATTATGAAAAACATCTGGTACAAAAGCTCCATCTCTGTTTTAATTTACTGACTTTAATTTAATTGGCTGGAACCCTTCTGTTTAAGACGGTGTGGTGGGGCACTTTGACGCGGACCCATAGTTCAGTCTGACTTGGATGCTGAAGGAGAGCTGAGGTGCAGCTGAGGCTCCAGTTGGTTCCCCTGTACAGCAGCTCGCAGCTACTCTTACGAAACCACGGTTTGAGCGGCTTTGTAAAGGCTGATGTTTCAGGATCACTGAGGTTTGATTCAGACTTTGGGGTTTAGTAAGCACATAATCCTTTCCACCTGATCCCTGATCACTGAAATGAGGTGAAATGCTTCATTCCCAGCGGTTGACAGATCCTCTCTTGCATCACTTATAGCTTCCTCTTATAGCATTGCCACTTATTATTATTATTATTATTATTATTATTATTATCAGTCAAGAGGTTCTGTTAAAGCATCAGATTCTAAACCTACCACGTTTTCATATTTATATTTCATATGCTGTAATTTCAGATGAAAATATTCTAGATGCCTTTTGGGTCTCTGCTTGAATTTCGAATAAAGAAAACTTCTTGTCCTCACAACATGAGTTTGTGAAGATGGGCCCACCAGTGTTCAACTCTGCAAAACAAAACTTCGAATGACAATCAACACTAAGACAAACAGCACAGATGGACCCCTGGGCCGATGAACAGGGTGCAGCTGGATCATACGCTGAGTAGCTGTCCAGTACATGATTTTCCCACCGTGCACACTGAGTCAGCCTCTTAACGCAACACGCAGGATGTTCTCTCTCTGTGATTCTGAGTCAGCTTCTCAGCCTTTCTCTATCTCAAACCCTCCTACTCCACCCCCACCCCCTGTGTGCCACCATATCTTCACCCCTCACCCCATCCACACCCTCTTCCACCATCTAGCCAGCATTTCCTGTCTCTTTTTGTGGCACCATTGAAAGCTTAAATCGAGGTTGTTAAAGGAGGCCAGATCTTATCACATGACACAGTGTAATGGCTTCATGACTCTGCAGATACTCTCACCCAAACTCATCTCCCAGTCCATTACCTCTGGGAAATCTGCATCATGAGTGAATAAAATGCAGTCAGTGTCCGTTTATAGGAGTCAGGATGAGAGTTACGTGTCCTGCGTATGGGAGTCTTTATGTCCTAAGCAGCATTACTCAGCAGGGTGTTTCACTCTGGATTCTGCAAGCTGTGTTTGGATTTCACAACCTACAGTGCTGAAAAAGTAGTTATGCAATCTGTTCACAGTGCCAGTGGTTGAAATTTCTTGTCCTTGAGCTACCAAAACATAAACATAACTCACACAAAAGGCATAGTATTTATGATCAGCGACAGCCTACTCAAGCATACTTCATAATGGTTCAAGTTTTCTTTCCTTAAATGGGAGAGGATGAATGGTTTGTTATTGAAATTCCAGTTTCTCCTTTTACTACAGGCCATAAAAATACCAGGGAAGCATCAGTTTGTTTCAGTGTGGGACAATGAAGGTTGACACATTTTTTCTGTCACTTTAAAAGCCAAACGTCTGATAAAGTATACTGTACTGAGTACTTACAATATAGAGTCGCCTTCTTCTCTGTCATTCTCTGTTATTTGGATCCATCTCTTTTCCCTTGTTTATGTGCACTAAGTATTGGCATCGATCGTACCAACCTAGATTTTACTTGGCATTGGTCTGGAAAGGAAATAAGTGGTATTACACATCATTAACTTGCTCTATGGGGAGGAAGAGACAACTGCCGATAAATGAGGCTCTTGAATTGGTTGTGGTTTCATCTTGAATGTCCTGTGTTTTACCTCTGTTGTGCTCACATGCCCATATCAGTGCTGCAGCAGCCTGGTGCTGAGAAACAAAGGGAGCATTCCTAAAGCCTGATTTGATCACTGCAGTGATTATTACTCCATCAGACAGGCGGTAATTGTGAAGTGGATGTGAAAAGGCAGACAGCAGCAGGAGGCTGAGCACCAGCGGTTTGACAACAGGCCAGGTTAGCAGTTACTGCTGCTTGCCTGTTTGTCGACACACCTGTGGGTGTTGCTCAAGCTGAAGCCACGGTGTCACTGCATCTCCTGTCTGTGGTTTAATGGTACCTGTTTTTTTTTTTTTTTACCTACATAGGAGCTCCACCAGGAAAACCAATTAACAGTAGCTAATGGATTTAATCCTTTTACACATGTTTTAGGGACAGTTGTGAAGGGGAGGGATGTTTTCACCAATTCTGCACAGCATGCCACATGCCTGAATGCATCAATGACTTTATCAGATTATCTTAATTAGTTTTCCATTTCTGCCTAAAAATTATCCCCAGTTGCTACTCGGCACATTATGCCATGCGACAGTTGAGCATAAGCTGCGACTCTATGTTGCAGAAAACAGCAGAGAACACTGATTGAATAACAAAAACAAGGAGTTGACTCTTAGTGAACTTTGTTCAGTGCGAGCTTGTTGGAAATGAATGAGAAACAAATGCACATAACACCACATGTCCTGTGCGGTTCTGGGCAGTTAAGCTGCTATAATTAGCCAGTTGCACTTCAGCCAGAGCCAAGGAACAGCAGGAGGCCAAGTCCAAACCATCCTCATTGCTGCTGGGGACTGCTTGGTTCACTTTTGATGTCTCTGCAGGAAACAGTGCTGACGTAAAAATACTTGCTGGACCCCGAGGGACAGCCACTGTAAGAAACACACACAGGCCCTGAGGTCTCACAGCCCCATCTTAAAAGATAACCCGCATACATGGTAGCTGTTTATTTGTGCATTAAGCCTTTTGGTGCTACAAAAAGTCAGGCTTAAAATGTGGTACCATCAGTGCCGACTGTGACAGCTGTTTCAGACCAGAGATCAACCCCGCCCCCCCCCCCCGCTTCTGTCCCTCGCCCCCCCCGCGTCTTTGTGCAAGCCAAGACACCACCCCCGCCCCCCCCCTTGTTTGTGTCCCTGCTCCTGCAGCTGTTGTTGAACAGCAGCAGAGTTCATTCACTATTTTCTGTCTACCTGCACTATGGGGGACTCTCAGCATGCATCCACACTACATGCACTGTCCTGTGCATTTTTACTCTGAAGGACGTTTTGTCTTGAGATTATTGTGCAGAATTGTGCACCAAGAGTCGGCTAATCCCAATTACGCACACAGGAGATGCATAATCCGACCAACCCCCACTCAGCTGTTGAGTGAAGCAAAGTTTTGACCAGACAGTGTCGTCTACCTCGGATATGTTGTACGTTTCTCCCAGACAACAACTACATAAAATATACACATTCACCAGCCACTTTATTAGGTCCACCTGTACAACTGTATGCACTTCAATGCAACACTTCCACCTTAACATCTGTGTTTATGACGCTCAAAATATTTCAGTTTTTGGTGAAATTGTCATAAATGTATAAATTCAATTATATCTTTATTATTGGGGTCATAGTTTAAGGTGGTGTTGTACTGGACTACATTATATTAAGAGGTGTCTCTATATTTTTGTCCTCCCCAGATACATACATGAGAGGGTCAGAATATTAGGGACACCTATTATTCCCTCATAAAACACATCACCCTTTATACTTTAATTTGTGTTTTAACAGGAACATTATATGGGGAAAAGACTGAAACATGCATGTATTGCTGAAGAGTCACAGCGAGGTGTGATTTTAATGCGAATAATCTCCTCCATGCTTCTGTTTATTTGTCTCTTTTCCATTTTGGTCAGATTATTATTTCATGTAGAGCTGAA